AGGATGGGGTGGGGGGGGGGGTGGGGTTGTGTCTGGGTGGGCTGTTCTTCAGAGGGTTGGTGTGGACTCAATGAGTTGAATTGCCTGCTTCTACACTGTAGGGATTCTATGGTCTTCTAATGGATTTTACTCCCTCAATGTTCAGCTTGTTTGTGATCACAGGCAACCTTTGCTTTTGGTGTGTGCCCACTATCCAGGGAGTTGCCACAGTGCTTACATTCTGTGCAACTCCTAATTTCCTTCAATGTTTGCTGCCCCATATTATCTCCAGGGCTGGCTTGTTGGTTATTAGGGGTACCTCCGGAAGGCAGAGCTAAGAGCCTCAGTGTGAATTTCGTGACTCTTAGCCCTGCCTTCGGGAGGTACCCCAATGCTGCCCATGCGCTCACTTGAGCTTCCAGTGAGCAGACAATAGAACATCTGAAGACATGGTTGCATTTGCTGAACTGCTGAGAAGGATCACTCCAATATTCACTGGATTGGGTCTCCAAAATAGTGATGGTATGCTGCTGCCTTGTAGATATTAATCTAAAATTTGCTGCATTCGCCAAAAAGAAATGAGAAGAAAAAGACATAATTATTTAGAAAGGTCAGTGGTTTTAATGTGTTTCTGTGTCTGAAAGAATGTGTTTGTGTTTCAATCAAGTACTCTAAACTCAGCAATGATGTGAACTTATCACAGAGTGCCTGGCTGAAGTACAGCTTTAAATAGGCACAGTGGATTAGATGTGATAATGTGAACTAAATTTGTAATTGTCATAGAATTGTGCAGTGTAAATATCATACATTTGATTAGATAACATATAAGGTGGTAACAGCATGAGCAAGCTAAAGCTGAGGTCAACATTTGTTAATACCAAAAGATAAACCTCTTTCCAAAGAAGACAGCAAGTCCTAAAGTGTTAATTGATCAAACTTGCCTTGGAAAACTTGATACATTTTTGATGTTGTTCAGTGATCAAACTGATCAATTTGCTGGAGACTGGATAGTGTTAACGTTTGAATGCAATTTGTCTGTATGGAAAAAGAAAAGAGTAAGAGAAAGCATGCATCAGAGGAGAGTTAGCTAGCTCAGGAGGTTGTCTGATCAGTGGTTGGAGATTTAAGGTGGAGAGGACTGATCACCAGTTTTGATCTGATCCTCTGACAAGTTAGAATAAACCATTTCACTTGTGATTGTAAGCATCATAAGATATTATTTTTGCAGTATTTTTGTACTGTACTTTTCTTTAATAAAGAACATTGGGTATTTCCCATTGTTAGACTGCCTTGGGTTATTGATATCAAGAGTAAACCCGCCAGACCAGGAAAAGTGGGAATAAAAGACTGCAACCTGCACAAACCAGCTTAACGACCAAATGACGACTGAGAAGAGAGGGCAATTGACCACGCACCTGTCTCCTTGGATAAGGAAGAAGGGGAGGCTAATAGAGATGCTGAGGAAGCCATAGCAGTTCTGAGATATGCTAGACAAGTCCATGAAAACCTGATAGCAGGTATATTTGAAGCTGACTGACTTTGCATTCTGAGAGGCCTGGATAGGGTAGATGTGTAGGAGATATTTCCATTAATAGGAGAGACTATGATCTGAGGGCACAGTCTCAGAGTGAAGGGACAACCTTTTAGAACTGAGATGAGGAAAAATTTCTTCAGCCATCTGTGTAATTAATCTGTGGAACTCATTCCCACATAGGGTTGTGTAGGCCAAGTCTTTGAGTGATTTAAGACAAAGATAGAATGGTTCTTGATTAGTAAGGGGACCAATGGGTTAAGAGGAAAAGGCAGGGATTGATGTTGAGAAACATATCAGCCATGATCAAATGGTGAAACAGACTCGATGGACCAAGTGGCCAAGTTCTGCTCTCATACGTTATGGTCTTATGAGCAAGATCATTTGTGTTCTCACAGTAATCAGAAATATTAGTCAATTATGAAACTGAGAGGTTCTTGCCTCCAAGGGAATTTTTGTTTCTCAAATGTTAGACATTATCATACTTAATTACTATTGGTTGTAATTACATTTGTGCCCTTTGCACCAATAACATCCAGTTCCATTTTCTGGCCAAAGGATCATTATGCATTCTGTAGGTTTACATAGAGGCTGCACCACTATGACTCAAAATTAAATCACAAGAGACATCCAACTATCAGTGAGTAGTTGGGGTTGGGGTTGGGGAGGCGGCGGGGTGGGGGGAGTTGAAATATACACAATGCAACCATATAACTTAACTTCCTGTTTCCAGAGGTTATGTTTTTCATAGAGAAATCAAGAGCCTCAGTGTTCTTTGGTGCACATATGAACATCTAGTGTGATTAGCCTCCCTCAAGGTCATCCACAAGAAAAACATGAACAACCAGATACCTGACAGATTGAAATAGACCAAAGGAATTTAGTACAATGTGTTGTATTTGTTTCAATAATGCTGTGTGGAATGTTGACACCTGTTCACCCAAAGTGACTTAAGTGTTGTATAACCTTTCTTGGTGCCATCTCGGCTGATACAGTTCAGCTTGAGGAAGTCTGCTGGGTACTTTGATAACTTGTCTTGGATGACTTTAACCTCTGGTAGTCTGGGACATCCTGCTTTAGGGCTACTGCACAGGTCGCAGATGCAATCTCTTCAGCCTGACTTGATAAGGCATTTTGGTCCCTGGCAGAGGGGATGTGGTGTGGCACCAGCCCCTGGAGTAACCCAAGCTGACACCCTCTTGGTGCCTGCTTTTGTCACTCCTCCAAATTTTCAGAGTATAAAGGTATCTTCCTAACTCCTTGAGGGGATGGAGCACTTGGAAGGTGCAAAATGTGCCTGGGCTCCCTCTTACCTAACCATTGAATGAATGCATACGTGACCTGTACAATGGAGTGAAGGTCCCTGCACATATCTAGCAGGTACAGATTGTACTGCTGGACCTAGTTCTTCATTGTAGTTATCCCCACCTCTTCCATGGAGGCTGCCATGCCCTCACATGATAGAGACACACCATCAGACAGAACTTAGGCTGATTCCTCTTCCTTTCACCCCAGTCTGCACATGATCTTTGGCACCTTTGCCTGACATTCCCTGCTCATTTCTGTATTTGTCAGCTCAATAATGGCTGAGTCTGGAGGCTCATCATCATCTGTACTGGGTTCAGCAAGGATCTATTTTCCAGTAGTCCAAGAGTCAGAGACCTATTTCTTCCTCCTTTAGCTGTGGGTCTTTGTTAGTGCTGTGCTCACCAGATGTGACCCTGATCCCACTGCACATCTATTACCCACAATGGTGAATGTCTGCACTCGTGGAGGGTTGAGTGGAAGCCTTAGCGTGGGTGTGGGATCTGGAGGCTGCAGAAAAAACACAACAATTTATTCACGTTGTGAAATGACTTATCAAAGGTTTTATTTCAACATTACTGATTGGTGTGCAGCTGGAAATAGCTGCTTGGTGGCTTGGTCACTCCATGGTTGTAGATATTTCATCTCCCTTTTAGCATAGGCACATCCCCTTGCTCAACTGCCAGCTCAGCGGTCTGCTCCTGGAAGCATGTTGAGAGCCTTATGTCAGCCTCCGTGCCCTCTCAATGCGCACTCATGCTTATTATTCTCTTGCAGAAGAAGAGAAGCTTTGAGTGATATTTGCAGAGGTAAAGGAGCACAGAATTGCTCAGCACAGATACGGATATGAATCCCCGGAGTTGTGATTGTCCATTTGTATCACTTGTAAGCATAAAGAGACTAGGAATTAAATTGTTCTATTTGAAAAATAGTTCAGTTTCATCAAAGAGCTACAGTTGATGCAATCCACTAAAGCTTGAGTTGAAGCATGTGCCTGAGATACCTGTAATGTGTGCGTCTTGAAGACACTTTTTGTAGTTATGACTCTGTTGTATTCAAGTCTTTGGTGAAAATCCATCAGATGCATGCATTTTCTTAGTTGTGAAGAAAGGTCATGAGCTGCTGGGTGTTGTAGCTCTGTTTACTCATTGTTCATAAAGCATTGAATAGACTCAATGTGTTGACACTTCCCTGCGGATCACCAGTGCAGTCAAATTAATCACAGAGGCTAATTGTCTTGGCACTGGATCCAGTCTCTCTTGATGCTCTTATAGGTGCTGCCCTCGAGCTAGCTTGCTCCAGACTACCTTAGTCACTAGGGATGACCTCTTGCTGCCATGCCTTGGAAACAATACAAGCCTTCTCTCCTGGATGGCCTGCAGAAAAACCTCTAGTGAAGCAACATTAAAGTTTTTTTTTTGGGTCTCTGACATCTCCAATACTGTCTGGGAGTGATCATAAGAAGTTGAACGATTGCAGAGATGAAGTGTTGTCCAGGTGCCTTTTAAATATGGCGCCAAAATTTCAAATCCAGAAAGTCCTGGCAAGCAGCAGACATCCTGCTCTTGCACCAATAAAGTTTGGAATATTTTCCAGTACAAATATGTAATGACGTGAGTAGAATATAATTATGTGGGAAAATCTGACTCACCTGCTTTTAAATCCTGTTTTACATCCCCTCCACATTTAGTCTCAAATAAAAGAAAATTGCATGCATTGTGCAGTTTAATTTGTGCTAAAAACCAACAGTTAAGCAAGTTCTTATTCGACTTCCACAGTGCAGGCTTTCATGTTGTTAAAAGCTTTACCTTTTTGAAACATTACAGAGTGGCATTGTGCAAATAACAAACAAATGGTCTTTTGTACCCTATGTCCACTGATTGACACTGCCTAAGCACTGAATTTAAAAAATCTTGACTGGTCTATTTATGATGGTGAATAATATTCATGTTTGAGCACTCTCAGTGTTCAACTGACATGAGACTGGTTTCACAGTTGTTTGGAGAGACAGGAAAAGCAGAGATTTTAGAGAGTGGGTAATGATTTCCCTTTTGAGAGCAATGAAATATGTGTTGTTTGTTCAAATGTCAGAATTGTCTCACCTATGCCTGATGGTAAATGGTAGGATCCAATGAGATTATAAGATTAGCATCATGCTCATGCTATCACTTCAGCCAGAGGAACAAACATGGTTCCAGCAATAGTGTCTAGAGTATATCACATTACCACTTTTGTGTGGTACCTTTTGCTCATTTATTTGCTTCTCAACACTCAGTCCAATCACTCGGTTCCAGGACTGTTCCTATACGCTGGTCAGTGGAAGTATCTCACATTCCTCAATTTAGTAAGTGATTCTTTGGTTTTATATGTTTGAGTTATATGAAATAAGTAAGGGAAAAATGTGGAAATTGCTCAATTCTTGGTGAGATGGATGAAAAAGAACACTTTTTGAAAATTGAGTTTACCTGCCAGGATTTCCAGTTGAAAAATTAGGCACAAAGACCAATTATCTTTCATCTGTCCATGCTGTCACAGTGAACAGGACTTCTTGAAACAATTACATTTTATATATCTTTTTTTTTGACTTGCTGATGTCAAGATTTTGTATAACTGCAATTTAAAACCATTCATTTTAACTCATTTTTTACAGAGGATACAAATACCATACTTTGAAAGAATGTGCACACCTTATGAAATTTATTATTCCAAATGCTAGAAACAATCTCTTGGGAATTACTAATCTTCAGGAAAAGTTTGATATTTCAGTTGGGTCAGTGGTATCTTATTTGTCTCTAAGTCAGATAGTTTGAAGATTTGATCCTGGGACATTAACACATTATCTAGGGAAACACTTCCTTAGAATCCCTACAGTGTGGTAACAGGCCATTCAGCCCAACAAGACTACTACAATCCATTGAAGAGCATCCCACCTAGACCCACACCCCTCACCCCATCCCTGCAACCCTGTACTTCCAATAGCTAACCAACCCAGCCTGCATTCCTGGACACTATGGGAAATTTAGCTTGGCCAATCCACGTAATTTGCATTTCTTTGGACTGGGGGAGGAAACCGGACCACCTGGAGGAAATCCACTCAGACACGGGCAGAATGTGCAAACTCCACACAGACAGTCGCCCGAGGCTAGAATTGAATCTGGATTCCTGGCACTGTGAGACAACAGTGCTAACCACTGAGCCAACATATGTCTTTCAGCTTTGAAGTTTTAAAGGATGTGTTCATTGTTGAAAGTACAATCTTTCAGGTGAACCATTAAATCAAGAAACTGCCTCTGCAAACTGTTTGGAGATAAATCAGGAATCCTCCTGGTCAATGTACGCCTCTCAACTCACAGCACTTTGTTTCTCCTTTAATCGCCTTTGTCTCTCCTTATTACATGTGAGACAACAAGGATAATTCCCAGTATGTAGTTGTGTCAGGAGCAATGCATTCACATATAACAGCCTTGAAGCAAATATATCCCAAAACTTCAATGAATTATATCACACTTTACATTTCATTTCATTTAATGATGTGTGTCTAGCAATATTTTTTTAAAAATCGGTTTTTGCAAAGGAACTATACAGGCAAGACCATAATTAGTGTCTGATTAAAGTGAGAAACTTTTTTAAACTCTCACATGGGATGTGCTGGCTAGGCCAACATTTATTGACCATCCCCAGTAAGAGTTGCCTTCTTAAACTGCTGCAGTCCATTTAGTGTAGGTACACTCAAAATGCCACTAGGAATGGAGTTCCAGGATTTTGACTCAGTGACGCTGAAGGAATGACAATATATTTCCAAGTCAGGATAGTGACTGTTCTGGAGGGAATTTTCAGATTGTGATGTTCCAATGTATCTTCTACCCGTGTCCTTCTAGATGGTAGTATTCATGAGTTTGGAAGGTGCTGTCTAAGGATCTTTTGCGAATTTTTGCAGTGCATCTTATAAACAGTATACACTGGTGCTATGGAAAGCTGGTGTTGGGAGTGGATATTTGTTGATGTGGTGCCACTCAAGCGGGCTACTTTGTCCTGATGATGTCAAGCTTTCTGAGTGTTTTTGGAGCTGTACTCATCCAGGCAAGTGGAGAGTGTTCCACCATACTCCTGCCTTGGGTCTTGTTGATGGTGGACAAGCTTTTCAGTTACTTACTGCAACATTTCTAGTCTCTGATATGCTCTTGTAGCCATTGTGTTTATATGGAGAGTCCTGTTGAGTTTTTGGTCAATGTTAACATCTGAGGATGTTGATAGTTGGGGATTTAATGAAGGTAACACCATTGAAAATTAAGGGGGATGGTTAGATTCTCTCTTATTGGAGCTGGTCATTGTTTGGCAATCATGTGGCATGAATATTAATTGCCACTTGTCAGCCGAAACTGGATTATTGTCCATGTCCTGCTGCATTTGGACATGGACAGCTTCAGTATTTGAGGAGTCATTAATTGTGCTGAGCATAGTGCAATCATTGGCAAACTTCCCCACTTCTGACATTTATGATGGATGGAAGGTCATTGATGAAGCAACTGAAGATGGTCCAGCCTATGACACTAGCCTGAGAAGCTCTTGCAGAGATGTTCTGGAGCCAAGGTAACTGACCTTCAACAACCTCAACTGTCCTCCTTTGTGCCAGGTATGACTCCAACCAATGCAGACATTTTCCCCTGATTTGCATTGACTCCAGTTTTGCTAGGCTCCTGGATACCACTCTCTATCAAATGTGGCTTGATGTCAAGGGCAGTCACTTTCCTCTTACCTTTGACATGTTTTGCTTGATGACTGACTTTAATGATAAAAAATTATCTTGGGTAAGAGGTAGAGATAGTGACAACAGTTCAATGTTCATTAGTCATAGGGCAATAACTGCATTTTGAGGATTAAAAACATTGGCAACTTTCTATTTGTTCTTTGGATTGGTAACATGTTATCTGTGTTGAGAATATTGGATATTGGTGAGTTAATGTAGTGCATCTTGTAGATGGTACATTTTACTGCTACTGTGCATTATTATTGAATGAAGTGCATGTCCAAGGGAATGGACACCAACCAAGTGAACTGCTAGTCTTGGATGGTGTCCAACTTTTTGAATATTGCCAGAACTGCACTTATTCAGGCAAACTGGAGCCATCACTTCACACTCCTGACTTGTGCCTGGTTGATGGTAGACCGGGATAACAGATATCAGTTGGAGGAGACAAGAAATAAGTTACTTGCCACAGGATTTCTCATTTCTGACCTGTTCTTGTAGCCACAGTCTATCTAAATGATTGTCCACTTCAGTTTCCAGTCAATGGTAACCCTGAGTATGTTAATAGTGGGTGATTCATGTTCTGGTATTCATTGAATGTCAAGGGACAATGGTTAAATTCTCCCATGTTGGAGATGCTTATTACCTGGCACTAGTGTGGCACAAATGTTACTCGTAACATATCAGTCCAAATTGATCAGTTCTTGCTACATATAGACACAGGCTGCTTCACAATTTGAGGAGTCATAAATGGTGCTCAACATTGTGCAGTCATCAGTAAATATCCCCACATATGAACTTAAGGTGGAGCGAAGATCATTGAAGCAGCTGAAAATGTTTGGGTCTAAGATAAAATCATGAGGAACACTTGCAGAGATGCCCTGGAGCTGAGATGATTGACCTTCAACAACTATCAATCTGCTGACCATTATCTTCTTTTATGCTAGTTATGGTTCCAATTCATAGACATTTTTCTCCAATTCTAATTGACTTTAATTTTGCAAGGGCTGTTTGATGCCTTACTCAATCGCATGCTGCCTAGGTGGCAAGGCAGTCACTTTCACCTAGCCTCAAGAGTTAATTTCAGACTCCCAGCCCTGGAGGCTATAGTAATGCAAGTGAACATCTAATTACTGCTTAAATGTTCCAAGAATTTCTGGCTTAACTACCTTTCAGACAATGAGTTCAACTTCCATCACCCTTTGCGTAAAGCAATTTCTCCACAACTGTCCTCTTAGATTTCTGCTTCTTGCCTTCACATCTATACATCCGGCTTTTGACCCCTCTATTAATGAAAAGGTGTCTTCCTATCCACCCTATCAATGCTCTTCATATTCTTATACATCTCTAACAGGTCCCCTATCAACCTTCACCGTTTCAAGGAAAACAACCTCGACATATTCAATCCTTCCTTCATAGTTCAGACTCTCCAGCCTAGGCAGAATCATAGTAAACCTCCTCAGTACAATCTCTCGTGATATCACATCCTTCCTGTAATGTGGTGACCAGAAATGCACGCAATAGTGCAGTTGTGGCCTAACCAGCATTTTCAGCATAATCTCCTTGCTCTTAAATTTTATGTCTCAGCAAATGAAAGCAAATATACCAAATGCTTTTTTGATCACCTTATCAACATGCACTGCTACGTCTGGGAATCTGTGGATATGCGCACTGACCTTCAGTAATTTCGGGGGTCCTATTGTTCATTCTGTAATCCCTTACCTCGTTAGCCCTCACTCAGTGCATTACTTCACATATTTCCAGGTTTGAATTTCTTTTGCCAGTCCTGCAGTTTCTCACTATCCATGAACTTCTAGATCATAACCCCAATATGTAAGTCCAAGGTCATTGATGTGTACCGCAAACAAAAAGGGTTCCAGCAGCGACTCCTGCAGAGTCCCACTGGGAACAGACGTCCCATCACAGAAACATTCCTCTACTATTACCTTGTGTGACCTACCGCTCAGCCAGTTTTGGATTCAATGTGCCACTTTTCCTTGGATCCCATGGGCTCTTACTTTCTTGACCAGTCTACCATGAGAGATCTAATCAAACACATTGCTAAAGTGCATGTAGACCAGATGAAATGCAGTACATCAGCATCACTCCTGGCTACCTCCTCAAAAAAGATTGATTCAACCTTCCTTTAACAACTCCAAGCTGACTATTGTCCAGCAACTTTGTTTTTGTTCCAAGCTGACTATTCCTGATTAATCCATGTTGCTCCAAGAGCAGATATATTATGTCCCTGTGAATTCTTTCTAATACGTTCCACACCATGAGGTTAGACTGATTGGCCTGTAACTTCTTGGATTATCGTTTCCTCCCTTTTTTAATAATCATCAAAATCAGCAGTCATCTAGTTGTCCGGCACCATGCCTCTGGCCACAGATGATTGAAAATTACTGCCATGACCCCTAATATCTCCTCCTATGCCACCCCCAGAAGATTGAGAGGTTCATTTCATCCAGGCCTTTGGATTTATCCACTTTTAAAATTGCTAAACCTGATAGAGGGAGAGGAGGTACCATGTTCTTCTAATATTTTATAGCCCCTCACCCTGAAGTCCATACCTGCATCATCCTTTTACTTTGTGT